ACTTATCTTGAAGTTAGTTCGAATCGTTTATACCCGGTGAGTCAAAAGGAAAAATATTAATTTTCGTAAAAAAATCAAATGGAATACTCTGTAGATTATACTTATAATTACTATTAATGCTCCTTCAATTTTATTAACCATTTCCTATACCTAAATTTAGTATTTTTTGAGGTATACACATGTTTATGAACAAAACTCCGAAAATTCGTCAAATTATGAGAAAATATCGAAATAAGCCAAGAAATATAAAAATAAACCGGCAATTTTTTTATTTTGTGAAAAAAAAATTTCCTTTTATCCATTCATTTAGAAAGTGTGCCTTTGTTCAGACCCAAAATTTTATTGAACTATAAATAATGTTTTCAGATCGCACCTTTTAGTGCAAAATATAAGTTGTTCATGCAAATGCAAAATGGCCCTACAAATAAATCAAATAAAACTGATTTAAACAGTTCCTTTTCGTTTTGCAGTTTTCTTCTTAGTTTTTAAGTGTTTTTTCTGGAACTACCAGCAATTTTAATATTATCCCTACCTTAAATTACTGATTTTTGTTGCGCAGTTAATAAATTATTTCCGCATCACGTTTTGTATTAACACATTCACGTATTTATTTTGCTCTCAATCTTTTATGATATTTTCGTACGGTTTGAAAATGTTCAGTGTTTTGTTCGTAAACATTTGTATATTCCAAAAAATACTAAGTTTAGGTATACGGAAAGCTTAATAAAATTGAAAGGGTATTAATAGTAGAGTAATTAATGGAACTATAATATACAGACTGTTCGATTTGATTTTTTCACGAAAACTTATATTTTTCATTTTGACTCCCTTTGTATAAACTATTCGAACGAACTTGAAGACAAGTACAGTATAAATGACTCTACAACTTAAAATTGTTGACACAATAAAATTAGAGCTGTCATAAACAGAGTCAAAAATAGTGAGTTAAACATAGGGCATTTTTGTCGAAAAAATATCCACAAATCGGAAAACACTCAGTATAGACCATAACAACCCTACATTGAGACTGACGGTGATTAAGTTAATGCCATAATATACAGGGTGTTCCGTTTACAAAAATATAAGTTTGATTTCCAACATATTTATATGAATCACCTATATTTGGAAATAATTTTAAATTGTTTCTTTTAGTCTCATCTATAACTTGTGTATTTAACATTTTTCTCTATAACAAATAATAAACACATTATTTAGACACCCTGCTTATTATATTGCAATATTCAATGAAATGGTATGGTAATCATTATTATTGACGTTTTAAATAATAGTGTTGTAATTTTATCCTGAAAATTTGTCCAAAAATGGCGACATTACTTTGTTTTTATTTCATTTTACTAGCGTGTCAGAGCTACCTTTTGCTGCAATAAGATAAAAATATCGTTGTATTTATTTTTTTTAGAAAATACGTATTATTTGTAGTGATCAATTCGCTTAGGACAGCGTTGACGACGTAAGAAAAGCCCATTTCAACGACTTCATGTTTGACAAAGGGAAGGGACAAAAATAAGTTTTTCCAAAAAACTTTACCAACTTGGCCAACGAAAAATACTCGAAATTATTTATAAATTTATAGAACTCGATTCTTTTTCGTGGAATGGTTTTTGCTCTACTTAATGGAAATTTTTAGGCCGGGCCTCTATATCTCAAGTGACCCCAAGTCTTTATGACAACTACTTTTCGATATAGGGCCGAGTGCCCTTCTTAATTGGTCATCCGGTAATCATTGAATCGTAAAATAGCCAGCAGGGAAAGCTTCGTATTCTACTATTTTCAAGAATCGGTCGCCCGATAGTCGGTCCGTGTCAGAAGCTTGCGCATCATCATTTCCTGCGAGGTTGCCGCTGTGACGGAAAACGCGAGGAAGCTTCGTTACGTCTCGGCACGATTTTGATTTCCCTCACGCCCGATCCGGTGTCCGGGGCCCCGACCTAGCCCAAGCAGGCTCAGCTTATTGCCATGCCAGAGGCGAGCGGGGTGAAACACCGCGGTCCGATGGGGCCAACGTCCCCAACTCGTTGCGGGACCCCGGCAGACGCTTTTTTGTCGACACAAACGGATTTGCAAACTGTAAATTGGTACGACGACGACAACGAGAAGCGGTATGAAAAGAAAAAACGCAATCTCCGCAAAGATTGCCGGCATATTTTAAACTAAATTACTTTCGAAACGGACGGTGGTGTCGCTCGTTACTTTTAATGAATGGGGTGAGTTAGAGGGGGGGGGGGGTCAGGAGCGCGGGATTTTTCCATGCAAAGTCGACTTAAATGTGAAAATTAAAAAGGATTGTTTAAGTAGCCCCTGCTCCAAAATGTGAGCCACAGCCATGATTTTACCTCCTGGCTAATAATAATAAATAGTTAAGGGGTCCTTAATTAGAAACCAACAGACTAATATTTCGTTATCTATCATTATTTAACAGTAATAAGAACGATAAAATAAATAAAAATAAATATAAATTTCATGGTATTTTTAACATTCAGTCACTTGACCGGTCAAGTGACTGGTCAATTGTCACAAAAAAATTTGACCGGACGATTCTACAACGTTATACTTATATTTTTAATATACGACGCGGTATAGACGTCAATATTGTTAAATTTTATAACTTCTGCAAAAAATAATAATTTGACGAAGTTAAACGCTTCCGAAAAATGTGTTTACCTACTGGTGTTGCAAATGTATAGAACGAACGTCTTAAAGTAATGACAAACTTCGAGGTCGAGCATTGACTCGTGAAAGAGGAAAAGAGAAAAAATACACATTTTCTTCACCAAACTAACGGGCATATTACAAACTGATCAAACTGATTGGTTTTAATCGTTTTTCTTACTTATTATTTCGTTAAAGAAAATTTTTTATTTTATTTATTTCCAGTTTTCACTTGAAATAAACGAGCTTCAATGAAAAAAATAAATAAAAATATAATGAATAATTAAAGTTGTGACTCGTGAAAGGGAAAGCATAAAACATACACTCTTTTTTGCCAAACCAACAGATAATATTACAGATCAATCATTTTTTAATCGATTTTTTTTATTCATTTATTTATTTATTTATCAATGGACCAACCGCCCAATATAAAATAAGGTTCACGTAAACAAAATAGTAAAAAACAAAAAAATAAAAAAAGTATGACAAACATTAAGAACGCAGTAAGGACACATATGACAGTAGCGAGGCATCAACACATTGTTCACATAATAATATTTAAAAGTCAGACAACGGAACAGTTTTACTGACAATCTTTTAGTTCTTTCTTAAATATTTTTGCACTCTGGAAGTAGTATGAGGAGTGGTTTATTATGGTCTGGTGAGCCCAATCTTACATAACAGCTCAGGTCCATGAGAATTTGAGTGCGGTAGATTATTAGATTCTTCAGTTGAAGAATATTGTTAATTAGGAGATTATTTAAGTTTTTTATTGCAAATAGACGCGCCTCGTTGAATAAAAAATTGCACCCAATAATAAATAGATGTTTAATAATAACAAATTTTGAATCGTAAAGGTAAAAGTTATAAAACAAATAAAAACATCTTCTTTGCCAACCAACAGGCATGTTATAAACTGATCATCTTATAATCGATTTCGTTTTACATTCGTCAGTTAAAGCATATTTTTGTTAAAACATTATTTAGGTTTTTTATTGTAAATAAATATACTTAAATAAATAAAAAATTACATCCGATAATAAATATTAAAAATGTTGATTCCTGACAGGGAAAGAGCAAAACAAATAAAATTTTATGTACACATTTTCTGTAATAAATGATTGCTTTTTAATCGTTTTTTTTTCTACTTCATATAAAGAATACTTTTTCTTAGACTATTTAAATTTTAATATTAATAAAAAAGTAATAAATAATAAAAACTTTGACTCTTGCAAAAGGAAAAGCATAAAACAAACTAGAAATAAACATTTTCTTTGCCCAGGTGACAGGCGATGTAAATGATGTTTTTTAATCGTATCTGTTTTGTGTCCTTCAGTGGGAGAACGATATTAAAGTTTTCATTATAAATATATGTATTGAATAAAAAAATACATCCTGGGTAATCCGAACATCCCATTGCAACAGGGTGTTGCAAGGGGGCTCCCGCCGCATAGACTTGTTTGTCCGAGTCGAGATGACCGCGCAAACTTGTAAAGGTGGAGTAATTAAATTTAATACGGAGCCGCATTTTTCGACCTTGAAACTACTGTGCCATAAGCGAACGCAACAAGACAGGAAGCTGCCAAAAAGAAGAAGGCAAGACGGTTGAAACGAGTGCGCGCACAATTATTATCATTTTTAAATAAATTTATAACCTGGCGGAAACTCGGAGCCTTTTATTATGTTGTTTTAAGGTCGAAAAACAAAGAAAAACTGCAAATCGCGAGTCGCTAAGGACGCGTTATTGCCAGATCAAGCAGATAGAGGTAACTTTGTCGCCAGATTGGTGTTGCTCTCCCCGTCCCCTTTTTAAATGTTTCCGCCATTTATCGAAACGAAAAGACCATCATATTTTGACACAAAAGGAAATCGCAACTATGAGGTATGGTCTGTTCATAGATATAAGAAAGTGACCAATTGCTTCTGAATAGGATTATACAAGGTTGGTCATTAAAGTTTCGGAATTTAAATTCAGGTAAAATTGTGGTCCGTAATAGAAAATAATTTTATACTTACCTGTGTTTAATATTCTTTCGTTTGGTATACTGCTTAGTTTAAGTTTATTAGTAACCATTCTTATTTCGTGTGTAATACAGCGTGTGTTGAATCGTGTGCGAATTATGCAAAATATGTGCGAGTCTAGTGTATCTCAGGAGATGCTCCCGCCCAAATGTAGAAAACACTTTTGTATTGAGACTAAGGAAGTTATAAACAATGTTTATTTGACTCTCATTGAACGTGGTGCCAGCAAGCAAGCATCTTTAGAAGAAACGGCCACATTGACGAAAATTCCATCATCAACTGTATGGAAAATGGTGAATTATATGTTACACCTCTTCTATGAAATCAATATACGTAGTCCCCCTTCTAGTCGCTAGGTGGCACCACAGCTTTAAAGCAGAGCCAAAAAACTGTGGAATAACTTACCATGGACGGTATATTCGCCATCTATGGTCTTAACCTCATTCCTCTTTTTGTGCTTTGGTGGCACATGTTCATTTTTATTCGGCGTCGGTGTTTTCAGCTTTTTTCAGCGTTTTTGGAAGTTAAATGGAGAAGTACAAGTGAGATTTACGTTATTCCTTATCGGATGAAGAAAGAACCTACCTACGACGAAAGATTAAATCTTTCCATCCGCGATTACATAATCGCTAGTGGCGTGGTTCCCATCAACGAGATTTTCTTACAATTGGGAGACGAAGACCCCCCATCTTTCCCACTTATACGACAGCAGTCGTATGTAAGTGTTTCACAATTGGAAGCAATCCTTTTGTGAGGGGGTCGGCCATACATATGGTTTTATATTTTTTCGACATCGAAAAAATAGAGTTTTCTGGCTCGTCCGGCTATGGATGAGGCGCCCGGGATACTGGGACATAATGAACAATTTTTTATGGCTGTTGGAATGCATTTACTCCATCGTAAGTATATTTTTTAGGCCCTTCAATTAATTCTGATGTCATTGTTGAGCCCCTTGAGACGGATTTAAAGCAAAATGGCCTTTAAGCTATGGGGTCGATAGTCCCAACACAAAGTTTGATGTGTCATGACATTTTGGCAAGTCAGATTAATACCTTTTTGAAATCCGGTGTGTCCGAAGATTGTCTCAGTGACCTTTTGCGTTGATATCCTGTGCCGAAGAATTGCCCGCTCAATAACTCTCCTAAATTGAATGTGCAGATGAAATCTGCCATCAACAAAGGTGGAAAGAAAAGGGATGAGAGACTGACTGCAACAAGGGGTGCTTTGATGGTGGTTGGTAGGACGCTCTTGACCTTGCTTTTGAAACCGGTTAAGGATGAGTAGTACTTACTTCTCATCGAAATGTTGAGTAATGCAATATTTGTTTTAAGCAAAATACACCATTTAGGTTCAGTATATAGAAGTTCAGCCGCGTTAAGCCTTTCGCTGGTCTCAAATGAAATGCAGCCTTGTATGAAGGAAGTGCTCGTTGATGCTTCTTTGCACTCTTGTTTATATGGAGAAGATTTGGCTGATAGGCTCAAATCAATCAGATTAGCTGCAGATTAGTGGCCGAGTTAAAGTCAGGTGCATCCGGAACAAGGTTTTTATAGCATACAAATTTAAACTCGACCGTCCCACTTCGTTTCCGGAAGTTGCAAGGCTGAAGTGGGTGAAAGTCATTGTACCCTCAAAAGAGGGAATACAGGAAGGTTCGAGAGGAAAGGGGGTGGAGTTGTGTCCCCAGGAAAAAATAGTAAGTACTTTTGTTGAAAGATTGCACGAGTTTCGGGACATTTGGAACTCTAGAACTCAAGATGCACAGATTCTACCTTGGTTAGATGGATATAAAATTCCATTTGCGAGGCCAGTTATACAGGACTTGATTACGACAGATCCTGTTTGGTCCCAACAAGAAAAAGATTCAATTTGTAATGTGGTCAAACACCTGTTAGAGATAGGTGCAATTGCAGTTTGCGAACCTTGTAAGAATCAATTTATTTTACAGATCTTTTTGGTTTCAAAATTGGATGGTTCGGTTTGATTAGTTTTAAATTAAAAGAAACTGAATGCTTTTATTGACACTTGTCATTTTAAACTGGAAGACAGAAAATTAGTAGAAACACTCTTCACAAGGAAGTCCTTTATGACCACTCTGGACTTGAAAGAAGCTTACTTTCTAGTCCCAATAATTAAAAATCAAAAGAATTTTCTAAGATTTTATTTTGATGCTCTCTGTTATCAGTTTAACGTGTTACCCTTTGGTTTATGCACCGCCCCGTGGGCCTTTACAGAATTAATGAAATCTGTGGTTTCTTATCTCCCTGCCAAGGCTTTTCCCTTAATAGTTTATTTAGATAACTTTACTATTTGGTGATAGTTAGCTATCCTTAAAAAATGTTCAAGTAACTTGCAACACACTGATTAGGTTGGGTTATGTTATTAATTATAAGAATGTTTTACATCCTTCGAAATCCCGTAAATTTTTAGGTTTTGTTTTTTTTGAATCCCACCACTTGTTTTTCTGATGAGTAAGTAAGTTTTGCAATTTGAACCGTTGCGAAATAAGAGTCTTTGCCGAGCTTTGTGCTGTGCTAGTTTTCAGTTTGCCCAGCAGTTTGTTACAGTTGGGTATATACTAAGAATTTTTGAGAGAATCAAATATCTAGCCCTTCAAGACTCTGTCGATAATTATGATATTTGGATGATAATTCCTTGTTATTTACGGAGGGATTTTATGTGATGGCTAAAAAGTTTACAGAATCCTGAATGCCCTGTAAGGCAGCAATGTTACAAACTTGAGATTTTCTCAGATGGTACTCCTTTGGGTTGGGGAATTGTGCCAGAGGACTTTGGAGTCCTAGGGAAGCTCAGTTTCATATTAATGCACTAGAATTAACTGCGGCCTCATTTGGTCTCTAATGCTTCGCCTCGTATTTGACTAACTGCGAGACACTTTTGAGGATTGATAACACAACTGCTATTTTGTATGTAAATAGAATAGGGTGAGTAAAATTTCCTGTTTTAAACGAAATTTCGATACGCCTTGGGGTTGGTGTGAAGAAAGGAGGTTATGGGTTAAAGCATCTCACATTCGATCATTTTGAAGCGCATAAGGAACCCACGAATTTGAATTTTGATGGTGAATGGTACCTTTCGGACAATGCTTTTGCTAAAATAACAAGCAAATTTGGATTCCCATAAATCGAACTGTTTGCTTCTCGCCTAAGTAAGAAATGCGGAAAGTTTATTTCCTAATTTCCAGATCCGGAGGCATCTAATGAAGACGCGTTTACTGTTTTTTGGAGCGACAGTTTCTTCTATGTTTTCCTCCCGTTTTGCTTGTTGCCACTTGTTTTACGAAAAATCAAGGCTGATTGAGCTACAGGGATCGCAGTAATCCCTTACGGGCACAGCCAGCATTGGTTTGCTTTTTTTTCATGGGAGGCGTTGTAGTTATTTATTGTTTCTAATTCCAGACAAATTACCTTCTTCTTGTGACAGGAGAGGTCACCCTTTGTGGAAATCCCTTACCCTGGCTGCAGGGATTTTGTCAGGCAAGCATTCCAGAAGATTTGCTGGATATTTTTCTATCATCTGTTCAGAGCGCTACCTTGAGGCATTTAATACCTGCATGCATTTAAACTTTGGTGGAGCTTTAACGAAAGGAGGGGAGTGGAGTGTTATTACTTCTCACCTAGGCTGTATTAGATTTCCTTACTATTCATTTTAGACAAGGCAAGTCCTATGGCTTATTGAGTTCTTTCAGTGCAGCACGGCCTTATTTTTGGATCAGATTTATTTAACAATGCAAATCTAACTAGGTTTTTTAAGGTGTTTATAATCTAAGGCCAAGTAAACCAAGATATAACAGCACTTGGGGCCCTAGTTATGTCCCTGACTTTGTAAAAGGGTTACGTTCTAATGACTTGTCATTAAAGCAATTAACTGTCATTAAAACAATTAAATTAGTTTCTCCTACTGAAGTTAACGATTGTACATAGAGTCCAAACGCTCTCTCTTATAGAATTGGTCAACATAAAATCATTTCCAGATGGATTAGAAATTAGAATAACGAATCAAATTAAGATTTCAGCTATAAATAAGACTCGACCTGTTTTTTAATTTTGCATAAATATGAAGATGTAAATCTTTGTGTGGTTTCAAATATATTATTGAGAGGGCCAGTGCTTTAAGAGGCAGTGAATCTCGTTTACTCATTACATTTAAAAAGCCTTGTAGGGCAGCAACTATACCCAACAAAAGTAGATGAATAAAGATAACTTTAGAAGATAGTGGTGTCTACACTTTTATTTTTACTGTTCACAGAACTCGACATGCCTCAACATCGTCTGCGTTTTGTAAAGGTGTTTCAATTGATATGATTGGAAAAACGGCAGATTGGTGAGAATGCTCTAAATGTTTTCCCCTTTTTTATAATAGACCTATTTGTACAGCAAGTGCAGGCCTTTTTGTTAATGCCACATTTGGGACATAGAATTTTTCAGAAGGTTTGTTTTCTCGGATAGCCATTTATTTTGTATTTGTACTCGAGGCTTTCATAAACTTCCTGGATTTCCTTATATAGCCGAATAAAATCGTTTTATAACAAATTTGCTGAGTTGCCTTTGAAAGTCTACGTATATTGATTTCATAGAAGAGGTGTAACATATAATTCAATGATCAAACGAACTTACCTGGTAAGTGAAGTTCGATCGTAATTATATGTTACACCTCTTCGTAGAAATCACCCATTCCCGCCCAATTTACTGTTCTGAACAGTACTAAAATGCCCTTTGGCAAATTTATTATAAACGGGCTTTAAAATAGAATGAGGTTAAGACCATAGATGGCGAATATACCGTCCATGGTAAGTTATTCCACAGTTTTTTGGCTCTGCTTTAAAGCTGTGGTGCCACCTAGCGACTAGAAGGGGGACTACGTATATTGATTTCTACGAAGAGGTGTAACATATAATTACGATCGAACTTCACTTACCAGGTAAGTTCGTTTGATCATTGAATAATCCCACTTCAGCTAGGAAAAAAAGAAGCGATGCTGACATTTTTTCGAGTGTAGATGAAAGTGATCAAAATATAATACGGCTTAAAAATTTACCAGTTATATGAGGAACATGGCGTGCCTACATTAGATATCTTAATTAGGAGGCTTGAAAAAGATAAAACCGGTGTTAAATGTGGCAGAACTACCTTACGGAAGTGTATTCAACACATGGGTTTTAGGTTTAAAAAAATTGACAAAAGGCAAGTTATAATGGAATCTTTTAGAATTCGGAAAATGGCGACTGGAATATCTAGAAAAAATTAGGATTTACAGAGAACAACAAAGGGCAATAATTTACTTGGAGGAAACCTGTTTCGACACTTACGATACCCCGGAAAAGGGTTGGGTTAACTCAACTGATAAGTGTAAAACAAACGCGCCATCAAAAAGAGGTAAAAGAATAACTATTTTGCTTGCTGGCTCTAAAGATGGTTTTATTCCAAATGTACTTTCTCTGTCTGCGAAAAATATTAAAGATTCTTCTCTGGATTACCATGAAGACACCACCGCTGATTTTTATGAAAGTTGGTTTAAAAACAAACTAGTTCTAAACATTCCTCCTAATAGCGTCATTGTAATGGACAATGCAAGTTATCACAGTAGTCAGTTGACTAAAACCCCTTCCTCATGTGACACAAAAGCAACAATTCAAAACTACATGTATAATAACGACATTTATTTTCACGAAGATTATACCAAAAAGCAATTCCTTGAGGTTCTACAAAGCTTGAACCTACAAAAAGAAATACGTCTGTGATAATTATGCAAAAAATCTAGTTTTAAGGCTTCTTGTCACTGTATATTTAATCCTACTGAACATGTTTGGCACCAATTGAAATCTACCATTCGTCGTACCAATGTTTTTCCCCGTGTTAACTCCAATGTCCTCAAACTTATAGAAACCGAAGTTTTTAACATCCCTCCACAAAGTTGGGCAAATTCTGTTAAACATATAGAAAAAGCAGAACAATCGCAAATAATATAGAACAAATAATAATTAGAGCAGGCGATGATAGCGATAGTGATACTAATATATTATATGAATGATTTTAAGTAATTTAAATAGGTAATAAAAATATTTTGTAATTTTATTTTAGGTTTAAACATAAATAAATACATAAATAAATAAATATTGTTTAGTATCTTTCCTAACAAAACCCCAAATAATTAAATTCTAAGCAAAGTACGGACCTGTTCGGCTATATTTCATTCTTACAGCTTGCTCGGGTCTTTCCTTAATTCTTATCAGTTAGTCACTTTCATATATGAACAGACTTTACCTATACAACTCAGAGCACTGCATCAAACGAACTGAAAAGCCTCCGGTACTAGATTTTTGAGTGAGACGGATAGTAATGTGGATTGTTTTCATTGTCATGCAGGTTAATACCGATTTTTTCTACCCGTTTGGGTTTTTTTGTGGATATATCGTTAGTTAACTACTTGTTTGAAAAATAATTTGAATAATTAATGTATTGAAGTAAATGATTTTCATATATTTTGAATATTTTTTATGGTGACCATAAAACCTATTTAGCGAACGGTAACCTAGACCAGAGCAGAGCTATTGCACCGCGAAAATCAGTTAAAACGCGAAACGACTTTCTAGAAGGTTAAGGACGTTCCAACGGAATTTTTAGTGCATCGAACAGACGCGCGCCGTCCATGTGCATCGGTGCAACCGAGCGAGAGAGGGTTTATTGACCCTTTCCGGATCTTCCGTCCCGTTCTGGTGAGACGAGAGGAATAGGGGGGCGCTGCTATCGCCGCGACGGTCGTAAAATTCACTCCGCGAGATGGAAAGACGCGAATTTTCATACCTATACGAGCGCGTCCTTTTTGCATGAAACAAAAATCGTTGACTAAGACCCGGGAGCCCATTATCACACGAACACCATCACCAACTAAGTAGTGAAATAGTCGGGCAGGATTAAAATGTAGGTACACGGGAAAATTCGTAGTAAAGAGAAGAGTGGGCGAAAGAGATTGTTTTTTTCTCTTATATCTTATTAACTATTTTTGCTGAATTCAAAGGTCTCATCGCAAAGATGTTACACTGCCTGTTTTCAGAAGTTCGCTCAAACCTTTAAGTTATTGAGTCCTAAACAATTTGATAGTATAGTTAAAGACTATCTTCTGTAGCGCTAGTTCTTCCTTTTTAGCTACATTACACAGCTAGAATGCTCTCTATTTACTTCTTTTTGTTGTACAATAATTAAGCAGATAGCTTTTTATTTTTTAGGTGTGATTTTTGCATGTCATCTTATTATTATTATCAAAATAAATACAGGTTTTATAAAGTTAGGTGTAAGAACAGCTCTGATGGTTTATTATTATTATTATTATTATTATTTTAAATATATAAACCAACCACATTCCTTTTTCACTCCGGCAGGCGACGTCACTGTACTAATTATTTACCTCTATTTTTTTTCAATTCAATTAATTTATTTTATAATTTAACGGGTCTTCATTCTGTCGGATACAGTTTCTATTGTTTTATACCGGATTTCCTAGTAAGAGCAACTAGGTAAAGTCTGTTCATAGATATAAGAAAGTGACCAACTCATACGAATTAAAGAAAGACCCGGGCAAGCTGTAAGAATGAAATATGGCCGAATAGGTCCGTACTTTGCTTAAAATTTAATTATTTGGGGTTTTGTTAGGAAAGATACCAAACAATATTTATTTATTTTTATGTATGTATTTATGTTTAAATCTAATTGTCGTCAATGTGGCCGATTCTTCTAAAGATGCTTGCTTGCTGGCACCACCTTCAACGAGAGTCAAATAAACATTGTTTATAACTTCCTTAGTCTCAACAGAATAGTGTTTTCTACATTTACGCGGGAGCATCTCCATAGATACACTAGACTCGCACATATTTTGCATAATTCGCACACGATTCAACACACGCTGTATTACACACGATATAAGAATGATTACTAATTAGCTTAAACTAAGTAGTATACCAAACCAAGGAATATTAAACACAGGTAGGTATAAAATTATTTTCTATTACGGACCACAATTTTACCTGAATTTAAAAGCAATTGGTCACTTTCTCATATCTATGAACAAACCATACAGTATTAGGAAAACGCATAGTCTCAGAAATTTGAAAAGAGTAAGTAAATTCGAGATCCTGACACGGCCATACCAGGATGCGCAGTTGCTACATTGATTTTTTAAAGCTGAAACAATTTTATTTAATGGCCTTCGCCTTATCTCTGAAAGGAAAGTGCTGGGGTTGTTGGAACGTTTTCGGAAATAAATGTCGGTGACTCCAAGAAGGTTTAACGAATTTCAATAAACTTGGAGGGGTTAAAAAGGGCTGATTCGGGCCTATCAATCGTGTTATGTGTGGATGAGTTGATAGCGCTGGCTTACATAATAGCAGAAATTAGTATATTATGCAAAAAGTTCAGTGAAAGAAAGTAAAAAAATTTCTCTGTATATATTTTTTTGATTAATAATTTGTTTAATTCTGTGATATTCTGTAATTAAAAGTATTGAAAGATATAAAATACAAAATGCTATTTGTTAAAATATCAATATCTTTATCCTAACCGAAAATTTCCGCTTTATGGGTTGTTATTAATGTCTAATTATTCATCCATATTTAATTTCGAAATAAAATTTTTAATTTTTCAAAGAAACAAACATACAAATCTTCTAGATTCAATCAACCTATTGGCTTCTTCAGAGCTTAACTAAAATTGTTATTTCTACTGTTAACTCTTATTGTTATTATTTTTTTTTACTACTTTTTTACAATACCTTCGAATTGCACTAACCAAATTAACCCAGTAGATGACAACAATCGAATATAATCTCGTTCCTTTTCTCTTGGGCAATGGGCAAAGTAAATTGTAGTAACTGTGGTAAACATAAAAGTGGACGAATGCTATCCCTTAGAAATGTATATTCTTTCAAAATTGAAATTTCCCAATAATAATAATAATAATTTATTAAGGAATTCATTAAGGAGAAGTCTGAACTTAAAGTCACTCACACTTAACCCACATCTAAATACATTCTACACATTTCATGTAAATTAAGCACATTATAACAATAATGTATGATGTACCCCAAACTACACATCAAATAAGAACCTTATTATAACGTATAAAGTTACACTTGATTTTTGCAATTCAGTTATTTCAGCCGGGAAGAAGTAAAAAAAGTAAAAAACTTTGATTTGAGAACATGATCTAAGGAGTTGAACCAAATTACAGTAATATAAGTAAAAGAACACCGAAATTTTGCAATTGAATTGAAATTATGCCCCTCCTCAAAACTGGCTATATTTTCTAAATTCCTAATCATGATGTTCGCTGCATATCCACAATTGTAGCACTCAAAGCGATGATACAACCGTGCATCATCAGCAAAAAACTGAGCTTGGCACCATGCAACCACACCACCCAGATCCGCCGTATAAATCGAAAATAATAACGGTCCAAATACTGAGCCCTGTGGCACCCCGGGTAAAACATCCATATTCATTTATCTGTTTGTGTGTATACTACTTTTTCCAGAATTTTGGACAAAATCGGTAATAAGCTTATCGGCCTTCAGTCTTCAAATACGGACGGGAAGTGGTACGATCAATGTCTCTTTCCACAAAGCTAGGCAATATTCGATTTCGAGGCAACAATTCACTAAATGTCAAATGTATTTATCTATTGATTTCTTTGGTATTACAAAAAGTTATGATTGATGCACATTTGTTATCGCTCTTCTCAAACAAGGAGACGAACGAATAATTTTCTGACGTGTTTGTAATATTGCGGAGCTGCCATGCTTCTGGTGTTTTATGTTTTTTACAACTTGATATAGCTTTATGTCTGTTTCATAATCATTTTTAGGTTTGAAGTTCACCATGGGGCTTTTGTTATACGAGCCCCGCGAAGAGGGGTATGCTTATTACAAATTTCAACAATATTTTGCGTTACAAAGTGGACCTTATCATTTATATTTTGTGCCAGTGCAAGTCAATATTGAACTGCTCAATATTTATATGTTTTAGGTCCTATAAGTAAGGTAAGCAGGTTCTATAAGAGACTTAGGTTTAGGACATTGAAAATATATTTCACGAAATACAATATTGTGAGCAGATATGTGGTCTACATTCAATGTTCCAATTTTCAGAGTGATTTATGAAGGAAGGGTCAATTAAAGTTTCAGAATGTTCAGTAATTCGAGCAGGTTCAGTTAACATTTTCTCCACTCATGCAAAGTTAAAAAGAATGATGATATTATTGAACGATGGGACAATATATGACATTATATTGTCGAGGACGTCAACAGCTCGGTCGACACAGCCCCCAGGTAGATTATCCGGAATAATATAGACTAAAAGACACTTTTAACGAAATATGTTCTGTAATCTGATTTTTTGTGATTTAAGCCCCACCTCAAACTAATCGCAATGAGAAATTGTTATATATATTAAATACTTTTTATTTTAACCTCGATTTTAAATATTTTTATAATATATTTGTTTAGTTTTAGGAACATTAAAATATGTCCGCCTTTTTTACGCGAAAACGCAAGTTCCTGCAATACGAAAAGTAAAACGGAGCAGCAGACGTCGGTGCGGAACGGGCTGAAACACGTTCGAATCCCACACCTGTTTGACGCCATTGATATAACAATTCGTATAAAATAGTTTTCGCAATTAGAACGGAGAACCCGAAAATTTTATCTCGTCTTATCGCGGAAAGGATAAAAGTTCTTCGACCTTCTAAAAATAATTCCATCCCAAATACGTTTTTATTACGTGTCGCTCGAATTTTGGGATCTCAAACGCGGTCGGAGATACAAAGTGGCTCAAATCGGGGCCAAGTTACACGAAAACCGAAAAAAGTCTACAAGCATTTTCTGTTTCGGCAACGGCTGGGTTTTTGGGTATATTACGAACACTGACGATAAACTAACTTTGTTGAATCTTGGCATTATTCGATAGGCACGCCCCTTTAAAGCGTTTTGAAAAAAATAAACCACCCCGAAATTATACTATATCAGCGATACGCCGCGAGAAAAAAGAATATGCGTGTCATAAATTTCAAAAATCAAATTCGAAGGACATATGGTCAGAGTTAAAAGGACTCAAAATAACCAAGTCTAAAGAAAATATTCTACCAAATAATTTGGGAAATTCCGATGATCTGAATCAATTTTTTATAAACTCTGAATGCTAGATCACGAATTAATCAATTTTTTATTTTAAACAATCAATTAGAAAATGTCGATCAAGAGCTACATTTTACATTGGCTACAGAAGATGAAATACTTCACATAATAAAAAATTTAAGGCAGTTGTTGATATATTAAATATTACTCTAATACATTTTTGTTTTCCTTTTATAATCCCTTTAATTACATATGTCATAAGCGAATGTATATTGAACTCTTCTTTTCCAAAATCTTCACAATTTAAACAACTGAGATCAATTAGCATTCTTCCTACTCTTTCTAAAGTTTGAGAAAAAATAATTGATAGGCAAATAAGAAAATTCTTAGCTCTTTTTGATATATTACCTACAAAACAATCTGGGTTTAGACAAGGTTATAGTTGTGAGAGTGCTTTGACCGATATTACTGATGATTTACTGCAGGAATCGGATGAAGGCAGAATTGGCACCCTAGATTTGTAAGACTTTGACAAGGCTTTTGTTTATTGTTTATTTTACACAACCGGGTGTAGTGAAGGTGCACGCGCGTTTTTCAAATTCGTTTTTATCCGAAAGAGTTCGACAGGTGTTCCGAACCACTCTCCGTTGAGTTAGGTGTACTACAAGGTATACAATCGATACGTTTAACATTGTAAAAACCTTAAAATATTTTAATTATCACCTATATGCTAAGGACACTCAAATTTACTTTTATTTTCAATATCATCATATCATCTGAGGCTAAAATTAACACTGATTTAAAGAACTTTTAGAATATTGCATCCGATCATCTAGTAAAGCTCAATCTAACTAAGTCGTCGGTGTTGGTTTTTGGAAATGACTACCAGGAACGTAAAGTCAAAAACGAAATGATCATAAAAATTAATGACACTCCTAGATCATACTCGGATACGTCGAAAAGTTTAGGATTGATCTTGGACTTTGAGCTGCGGTTCAAAGATCACATTACAAACAAATTAAGAATAGGGAATTTAAAGTTAATATACAGTCATAGATATTTTCTTCCAATTTTATACAGTATATCGTATACAGAAAATACAAAATTTATGTTTGCGGTTTGTTTATGGAGTTCGCCGACAGGATTATATTTCTCCATACTTGACTGTTTCGGGTTGGCTTAACCTTAGCATGTGCAATAGATTTAGGTTACACCATACTACATTCTTTTTTTAATTAATTAAACATAAATCTCCTGAATAGCTTTTAACAAAATCACTTTTCGTTCATGACTTGAGTCAAAGAAAAAAATTTAAGTTGAGAATACCACAACATCAAAAAGAAATGTTTAAAACATCATTTTCTTATAGCATTGCACATACCGGTATACAAAATATCTTCTTGGAACTCAATAATTTCTTTATCGGAAAACCACCTAGCTGTTTACCCTTACCCCCTCCTTTCTGCTTTGTCCTACGACTGCGTAACGTATTTAATTTTATCTTTTTTTTCTTACTTTTACGGTAATTTGTTTACCTTAAAGTTGGTACCATTTAATATTGGCTCGTATAATAATATGTACATTTGGCACAGCAATAAATGTATTTATTATTATTATTATTATTATTATTATTATTATTATTATTATATGTCGAATTGTCAGTGAAAATTAAGACTAAGAAAAATGAAACAGGAATACTTACTTAGGTTAAAACAAAAATTCGAATTATTAAAAATTAAATTAAAGAAGGCACTTTGGGTTTTCTTGTTATACTGCTTTCTCATATCGCTTTCCTTTTCATTTGTCTTCCCCATTTTTATAACTTCAAAAGTGACTTCTAATAAATCAATAATAATAAGGGACTATCCGGAGCTGAGCTGCCCTGTGTATTTGTTACCGCTTTCGAGGTCTCAACGTCGAGGGTCTTATTTGAATCACCCGGTATAGAGAAAACAGTCGCACGCGTGGTAAGGTAACAAGCGATTTTTAATATGTCCCAATTAATTCTTAATTATTGTGCTCGACAGTCTATACTTTCGGGTAGGTCGATGAACCTTTCCGACTCCGAGTCGCTAGACGAAACACAATCGTTGCGAATAAAAGTAATCTACCGATACTCTCCGCAGATCTAAATCTTGAGTAAATATTTTTCGTCGCTAATATTATAAACCGTTCGCTCAATATCTCTTGCCAGATAATGACACGGAGCTTTAATTTAACCTTGAGTTTGAATTTAGTTGCCTTGTTTCATTACGGATTATTTGTTTTGCAGGTTTTAGTTGGCAGATCCGCGACCATCTATTGAGAACAACGTATTAGTTGTACCGACGACTGGCGCAACCTAGCTTAGAATTAGCTACTCTGCTGAACCAGTGCGTGACAGAATAGTACATAACAAAGTTATAAAAAGAAATTGATGATGAAACAAAACAAAAAAATCTCTACAGCTAATTCTCTAGATGCAGTAATACTTTCTTATATTTAATTTTCAATGTATTACACTTTAAATTTACCAGGTTATTAGGTATTCAATTATAATATTTTACGGCATTATAAAAAACTCCTCAGAAACATTTCACTCCGACGATGACGACGATTGTTAAAAATTCCCTAACCTGAACATTCCCGTCATGTATTTCGCGCCTAAGCACTATTCGTTCTCGAATCGCAGACACAGTATCGGGAGCGTTTATTATAGTCTTTAATAAAAAAGTACGGAAATGTAGTCTTCTACGAGCCTAAGCCACCGAGTCTGTTTATAAAGATTAGAAACATGATCATATTTTCTTAGGCCAGACTAAAATGTGATAAGCCAAGGAACTCGCACAAGTTTTTCCTTAACTTTTGACCTAAAATTTGCCTATTACTGCATAATATTTGCTTTTTAAAATGTTCTTTCAATCTTGGCCCGCTATCTAAACAAAAGCTCAAGTTCTTAGCATTATTAACGAAGTTAAGCACTGTGCCATCAATTAAAATATTTAAAGAACGTTTGATCCTATTCCTCTTATTTTTATTACCAAAAATTAATAATGAAGATTTTGTAGGGCTTTACTTAAGACTGTGGCTTTTGGAGTTCACTTAAAGTTCGTAAATCATGATTTATGTTTTGCTCTACCTCCAAAAGATCATTATCATCAAAACCATAATACATTTCTGTATCGTCAGCAAACGCTTGAATTTAACAGAAAAATAATGATTTTACAATGTCCGAAGGATACACAATAAACAACAGAGGACTTAAAATGGACCCTTGTAACACTCCCGAGAGTATTTGCACCTGATCCGAAAAATTGTCACTTGTGGAATATTATTCAAATATGGATGACATAAGAGTAAAAGATTCATTAGAAAATCAATAATATTTTAGCTTTAACATTAGAAGTTGATGATTGATTGTATCGAAAGCCTTCGAGAAATCTAATAGCACAAGAACGGTACTCATTTTCTTATCATACGCTCGAAAAATATCATCGATTACACTAAGCAATGCTACTTGTATCTCAGACTTATAAAAAATTCGAACATTTGATTATATATTAATATATTTCAAATTTTTACTCGTTTTCTCGTTTCACCTGCAATAACTATTGACCACTTATATTAACCTTGTCTGTCAAAATTTAATGACTATTCTACAAAAAATTACCTTATACTGTTTTTTTTTAATTTTTTTAATTTCTAAGATAACGTCTTTGCAATCTTTGTGATAAAAAATCTTAGAATGATAATCTTACAGCTAGCATATATAGTATATGGGGCCATAGTTAACAGAAATGTCAGTTGCCGCACCGATTGTATTTTATATATTGAACGAAGTTGATTAGAGTTTTTAATGTTAGTTGGAAAATATTTTAAAATAACATTTTGAATGCTTGAACTTTTATAGTTTTCGGTGTGTACGAAAGAAAAAACAGTACACGGTGCTAAGTTTGCGATAGGATATGCCAAACAATTGTTCAACTTTTTCAATTTGTTGAGTTTTAGTTTATTTTTTTATTTTGTATGATTTTTTTTTATACTGAGAATTTTCAAATTAAATTGTCAATTTACTTTTAGGAAGTTTTACATTAATTTATACTTTTTATGACTTTTTAATAATAAATGTCAAAGGCCACAAACTGACTTCCCAAAAATAAACTTCTTTTATGTCAAGTTGCTGGTAAAATACAAATAACCGAACTTTTCGTCCTTACCATTTTTAACAAAGGGTCGTATTTCCCCTATTTACATTCTGTAAGAAAGATGCTTTTATGTTGTAGTTTGCCATATTGAATTTGATCTATCTACCTCTATAAAGTTAATTTTAAGTAGCATTACGTAAGCAAACAGTATTAAACAAGCACGATTTTACAGTTTTACGCAATATCCTGATTAAATAGAAAAAATATAATAATTTG